TTCCTGAGTGGTAATGATGTCGAGGATGTCGCACCCTGTTCCCTCACCTGCGATACAGAGGCTGTCACCAGTACTGCCTTTCCCCCTCCGCCTTCGACCTCTCAGCTGACGCTGGATGACTTCTTCCTCTGGAGCGGGGCTTGTCTTGGTGTTCTTCTTGGAGGCCCTAGGCTGTCTGTTGGAGCGTTGGGGACACATGGATCCTTTCCACTTCACACAATATCTTATGGACCTGCTAACAAGAGCAACAGTGACTCCTCCTGCAATATTTTACAAATAAATTGAGTCTAGATGAAAATATTTCTTATCGTCTTACCTGTAATATTCTACCTTGAAAAACAGTAAATGAGTGAAGGAGCCTAAGTCATCTGCATTGAACCTGCAAAATCAAAAACAGCACATCACTTTGACAGGATTGACAACAAAACGGCATGTGCATTTGTCCAATGCCACGACCTTTGAACTTGATGAAAGGACATGTTTTAAGTTCATATTCTAATCTCCTTAGAACTGCACTTTGTCTTTACATTTATGTTGAAATGATTTCACCTTTCATACAGGTTTACTGTGTCAGGCATATATATAGGCACACATTTAATGTAATCTGGAAATAAAACCACCAGTTATGACTCAGGTTCACTGTGCTCTGCCTGTGGCTGGAAACCAATGTCTGAAAACACCCAGCTACAAAATCTGCATTGAAACTCAGGCGATGCTTAGCTAACGTTAGCATCCCGGCTAAGCTAACTGGGCTCAAAACTAAAGCTCACACAGAGGGCGGATGGACATCACTGAAAGCACCGGGCATTGAAGCCAGGACATGACTTACTTCATCTCTGCTCCTTCGCGGTTAACGCACTCTAAGGTGTAAAACTTTTATTAATTTAATTATGACTGAAGCTGAAACACGGCGCCGTGCTTACTTGTTCACATTCTGGCTCGTGCCTTGGTGAGCTCGCGGACGTGAGCCTGTTTGTAGATGCGCTCGAGGACAAATCACTTCAAGATGCGCGAGGATAGAACAAAATTCCTTGTCCCATGATCCTCAACGCTCCTAGTAGCTCTCTCTGGTTTTGTTCTCCTTCTGTTTGTTCGTTTGGGGCTGGGGGAATGTCGCGTTACTGCCGCCAACTGGACAAGTTTCAGAAATGTAAACCATTTTTCCTACCTAAAATGAACTGCCTTCAAATAAAAACGGTTAAAGTTCAGGTTTTGACTCTATATGTATGCTGACTATTGCGAGCTTTAATAATGTATTAATTTGAAGTGAAATTGCGAGCAGAAATATTAACACTGGAGGTTATATAATGTAATACCAGTCATCAAATATGTTACAGATTAAATTATGTGCCAAACATGACTCTTAACCAGTAATGTAAATGATTCATCTAAACATTTTGCAATGTAATTGGATTTCACCACAGGTGCATCTGTGGTCAAATGTACAATGGTGGCTGACCACCCTGCACATTCTCCAAAAAGTTGATTCTGTTCATCTGGACGCAGCGTTTTGTGGTAGAAACGTTTCGTCACTCATCCAAGTGACTTCTTCAGTCTCAGCTGACTGCAGGTTTCCCCAATCTTATAAACAGTACATTTGCATAATGACTGAAACCAGCCCACTGAAGGAACAATGGGCTGAGAGGTCAGTTCCTTAACCCTTGTGTGGTGTTCGTATTTTTGTTACTCAGCCAGTGTTCATGGGTCTGGTGGACCCGCTAGAGTTTTGGCTTTCCAAATTAACACTATCAAACAATTTTATGTTAAATTACTCAACAGATGTTTACTTCATCCCAATTACAAGACATATGAACAGCAAACATGGTTAATTTTTTCCCTTTACCTTTGTTAGATCACATTTATGAATTAATGTGCTTCTCGTTTTTCTTTTATATAAAATGTTATAAATAAATCAGTTATAATCAAGTGGAGTGAGTGGAAAGACACAACACATTTACACGTGAAAAAATACTTAATTGTTTAATTTTTCTTTTGAAAAAAACTGAACACGGGTCTCACAGACCCGAACACCATACAAGGGTTAATCTTAATTATGCAAATTCTCATGACCATTGATCAACAACCACTGACCAAAACCCGTCGTACGACGTTACATCTCTCTTCACTTGCATCCCAGTCACGGAAGCGTTGGAGGTAGTCCGTAAGAGATTACAGGATGACACCAACCTCAGCAACAGGACCACTCTCAGCATCAACCAAGTGTGTTTGCTTTTGGAACTGTGTCTTCATTCCACCTACTTCACATACAAGGGTCAGTTCTACAGGCAGAAACATGGGTGTGCCATGGGCTCCCCATTTTCACCCATCGTGGCCAATTTGTACATGGAAGAAGTGGAAAAGAGGGCTTTGCTATCCTACCCTGGAACACCACCAAGCCATTGGTTCAGATATGTGGATGACACCTGGGTGAAAATCAAATCTCAGGACGTACCACAATTCACAGATCACATTAACTCGGTGGACCGACACATAAAATTCACCAGGGAGGATATGAAAAGTGGCAGGTTAGCCTTCTTAGACTGTGAGATTTCCATCAGGAATGGGGGACATATAAAAGCTGACGTGTAACATAAACCTACACATACGGATCAGTATTTAAGGTTTGACTCTCATCATCCACTGGCGCACAAACTGGTTGTCATTAGGATGCTACAACACAGAGCGAACACCATCCCCACAGACACAGCGGCCAGGGAGGCAGAAGAACAGCACATCAAGAAGGCCCTGAGTAAATGTGGTTATTCCAGCTGGACGTTTGTCAAAGCTGGAAAGAAAGAAAGAAAGCTCCAGCCGATCCAGGAGAGAAGGACAACCGCTGCCCAAGCAAAAACCTGTAGTGATCCCATATGTGTCAGGAGTATTGGAGCAGTTGAGACGCATTTTTTCTAAACACCGTGTCTCTGTGGCTTTTAAACCCCAAAACACGCTGTGCCAAAAACTGGTCCACCCCAAGGATCGGGTCCCCCGACACAAACAGAGTAACATAGTGTACGCTGTTAAGTGCCAGGCGGATTGCCAGGATTTGTACATCGGGGACACCAAACAACCTCTGGCGAAGCGGATGGCACAACACAGAAGAGCTACCTCGTCAGGCCAGGACTCTGCAGTCTATTTACACCTACAGGCCAGTGGACACTCTTTCAATGATGAGGATGTACACATCCTGCATAGGGAGGAACGCTGGTTTGAGCGCGGAGTCAAGGAGGCCATTTACGTGAAAAGGGAAAGACCATCTGTGCTGGACACAGCTGCCTGAGTTGGAACACATGTTTCCCTTTCACTGGTAGAAACACTTCGTCACTCGTCCAGATGAACTGACCTCACAGTCCAGTGTTCAGTCAGTCAGCTGGTTTCCATCATTGTGCAAATGTCCTGTTTATAAGGTTGAAACCTTATAAACTGAGGCTGAAGAAGTCAGCTGATGATGATGAAACGTTTCTCCCACTGAAAACATCCAGATGAACAGAATCAGCCTTTTCATGTTTTCTGGATGACTGCGCCTGCATCAAGACAATCTTCTCTATAAGCTCATGCTCTCCTGAACACCAGAGCCACACAGTCAGCTGTCTGTACTGTCTTTTAGTTCTTAACATCTTGTTTTTTCTTATCTGCTAAATCAATCACAGGTTTGTCCAGCAATCATTAAAAGAACACACATACCTGTGCAGTTTGCAGGTAAAACAGACTGAATGTGTTTGTCTTCCTCACAATCCCAAAACAGCTGCAATCAGAAAAGCTCTGTTAGCTAACCTGTAGACATGTAACCAATGAGAATAACCCTATTTTGCCCTATTATGTACAGTTAGGTGCAGATGAATTCTATGTACTCAGAACTGTGAAGGTTATGAATGATATTATTGCAGTTAGACCTCAGTTCAGTGCTGCTGACCACAATATTTATTACAGAGATTAGAGCATGCTGTAGGTGTTAAAGGTACTGTGCTGCAGATAACACACACCAATGAGTTAAACTGCAGGAATGTCTTAAAGACATAAAGACCTGGATGGCCGCTAACTTTCTGCTTCTTAATTCAGATCAAACTGAGGTTATTGTACTCGGCCCTGAAAAGCTTAGAAATATGGTATCTAACCAGATTCTTACTCTGGATGGCATTACCTTGGCCTCCAGTAACACTGTGAGGAACCTTGGAGTCATTTTTGACCAGGACATGTCCTTCAACGCACATATTAAACAAATATGTAAGACTGCTTTGCGCAACATCTCTGAAGTTAGAAATACCCTGTCTCTTGCTACTATTCTGTGCCTCCCTCATACATCCAGAACGGAATTAAACATTTCCCTCCTCACATACAAGATGTTGAATAATCAGGCTCTGTCTTACTTCCAGGCTGGACTACTGTAATTGATTATTATCAGGATGTCCTAAAAACTGCCTGAAAAGCCTTCAGTTAATCCAAAATGCTGCAGTGAGCATACTGACGGGGACTAGAGAGAGCAGATTTTGCCCACACTGGCTTCTCTTCCTTTTCGATAAAGCCCACAGGGCTGTGTTAGATGACCTTGAATTCTCCGTGCAATAGGCCTATATTTATACACCACTCTGTATTTAACCATTGATCTGTGTCTTTGGTCCCGTCTCCGCCCCCTCAGCCCCTCAGCGGTCGGTCAGATTGAGCCTGGTTTTGGTGTTTCTGTTAACAGTGAGTTTTTCCGTTGTACTCTTGCCACGTATGTGCTCATAGGGACTTTTCTGATTAGTGTTGGGTCTTAATAATATAAAGTTTTCTGAGGCAACTATATACATAAATGTAATGAGACCCAGTGAGAACGCGTGGTTAAACTGAACAGCGACAGTAAAGATGGTGGTAACCTATGTTTTTAACTGTTGTTTAAAAAACGTTTTTTACTTTATTTTAAGGAAAATGTCAAAATGTTGATATGGTCTGACTGTATACATCTACGTGTTAATGTCCAGCACACGGTGTGAGCGTGTCGCGCGCTCCCTGTACGCACGAGCACGAGCTCTGGGCATGTCCCGTTGCCATAGCACCGCAGTAGGAAACCCACAACAGCAGGCGCACTGCAGCGATGTCTGCCACGGGGGGGAAAGAGGGAGGAAAGCGGCGATGCTCCCTGCTTCTGAGACCGTACGTTAGCCGTACTCTTTTCACTGCAGCTGTCTGCACGTACACGCAGCCACGGTCACTTGTTGTTTTGCTGCCTTCCAGCTCCTCTCGTACCACCTCAGTCTCACACGGACGCCCACGCGGAGCTCACCAGCGTTCCAGACAAACCACGAGTGTGCTGGGCTGTCACAGCAGGCGGAGCCTCGGGGGCAGCAAAGTCCTGGAGAAGAACGTGGTTCAGACTCCCAGACAGGCTGTTCGGGTACCTGAGCATCACACGGACACTGTCCTCACAGTCTGTGGGTCCTCTGAACAGTTTGTAAATGAGAACACCAGTCACAGACTCGGTACTAGATTCAGATTAGACGCAGTTTCTCATCAGTTTCACAGAGTAAAGACCCGCGTCGTAGACTGTGTTTAATGCATATGTATGCTGAAAGTTTAAAGAAGTAGGCTTACATCAAACTCAGGCTGTAGTCACAGTTTTATTTTGCAACCCAGACAAAAACACAAGATTTCATTTTGTGGATTTGTCTTCATGACTGATTATTCTGATGCCTCTAAAATTAATTACATTCAACTACCACTCACCAATTTTTCAAAGCAGTTACCCGAGTGCTTTGTGAAAAAGGCAATAAAAGGAGAGATGCAGGTAGTGGAGTTAAATACCATGATGTAGCGAGCATGTAGTGATGTAGAAGTACCTCCAGTGTGCCCTTGAGTGCAGTACCAAGTTAGCTGTAGCTAGCTTCTGTGTTTCTTGCAGGTGTTTGATGAAGTAAACAATGATGTCACTCCTCAGCCGCTGTACCAGGCTGATCCAGGAGCAGTGCAGCCCATGCTGTTTGTGGATGAAATGTCTGTGGGCTCAGCATCAGACCAGCCAACAGCCACGGGCAGCTTCACTCTGCCTTTCTCCAGGTACCAGAGTCTGAAGTGATGCAGCTGGAGCTGCTCTGTGAGGCTTGAATGTGTGGAGTGCAAATGTTAAAGCATTGCTTGAATTTGAATATCATTTTTCTCTGCAGGCCTTTCCATGTCTTATCTTTTCTAGTAGCTAAGTTCTCATCGGTACGTCGTTGTTCCGCCATACCTCACGTGGCTCTTATTAAGCTCGGTGACATCCACGCCGGTGTGGCTTGTCCCTCGCTCGTGTTCTGAGGTTGGGCAGCATTGTGGTTATAACCTGGGGACCCTTGAACCCTGACCTATCCTCTTTTCTTTTAAAATCTTTGATATGTGAACGTGATTGAATCAGTCGGGGAACTCCCAGTGATACAGGTTTGGGTGGAAACCATTACATTACATTTAAGCTCAGTAATTATAAAACAGCAGAAGTTTGAATCAACCAGGGCTGCTGAAGCACAGCTTCTTACTAAATTGTGCCACCAGTTGAGCAGGTCCATGGTGCAGGGAGGCAGCCACAGCCAAGCACTTCCTGGAGAGAGCGAGGACAAACTGTCTAAAGTGACTGCAGGTTACACGCTTCACCCTGTAAAAATGTGCTCGCAATGTTTCCAGGTCAGTATTTGGCAGCAGCAGAATATCCAGCCAGTCCACCACAGAGTCCGTGGATGACGAGGACATGTTTTCTAAACGTGACATTCCCCTCAGTTTTCCAGGTTAATAAATTGTTTTTTTAAATGCACGCTTTTCCCTTTATCCTTTTGATTACTGCGTTCATGGTGTTTGAGCTTGTGTGGTGGTTAATGAGCACAGTTAATGCAAACTAAATGGTTTTTTCAATCTCCACATATTACTGTGACTAAAGCTCTCAGTTCTCGGTCACACCTACAACGTATCTTTGTGGTGTTTATAAGAGTTTGTTCATATATTTTCTTGCTAGATGTGAAGGTAAAAAAGGACACGGAGAAAGAACAGGTGACAGAGGACATGTTGAAGGACATCACGGAGGTCTTTATCTCTGAGACAGACACCTTTTCACTGCTGGACATGCCCAGCACCTTTGTGTGTGTGGATGCTGATGAGGCAGAAGCTACCATGTGGGTGAAGTGTTTCCCATATCTGACTGGTTGAGACGCTTACATATGCACCTGAAATGTGCTACTGGCACGTTGTGATTTTACCTCGTTTTCACAGAGCAAGAAACCATCAGTACGAGGAGGTCTGCAGAAACAGAGTGAGCAGGGACAAACATGTGGAGCGATCAGTGCAGACGCTGACCGGAACAACAAAAAACAAGCATGTCCAGAGTAACGGGCTGATGGTGGTGGATGCAGGTGAAGCTGTTATTCTAATGGTGACTTTTATAAAAGTTTTAAACACACCCAGGTCAGTGTACCTAAACATGAAGCTGGACTAACTTGATTTTTGGCAGCTTTATTTAGAACATGGCTTTCTTTCATCTCAAACTGTGCTTTTGGACTCAGTCTATTTAAAGTGTGATGAATATTTGGTTCCCAAACTTTGGTGTGTGGAAGTGTGTCGCTGTCTTAGATGTGTAGTGTTCACAGTGTGTTTGTTTTAGCTCACTATGTTTATATCAGAGTAGTTCATTGTTACCTTTTCACCATTTGAACTATTTATCTGCCATTTTTAGCCAAATGTTCTGGCTAAAAATGGCAAGCTAGAACATTAAGCTAGCCTCTTTCCCAACAATTTATGAACCGCAGATTAGCATTTACCTTTTTATCCACATTAGTGTCTATTTATCTGATGCTGAAGGTGCTGCAGAGGTTTTGGTCTGCATTGACCTGATAGCTTAATGCAGTTGCTGCAGATTAGTCGGCTGCAGCTATCTGATTATCCACTCATGTCCCAAAGGCTTCCTTGTGACTGTGGAGACCACTGAAGTACACTCAATTCATTGGTATGATCAGGAAATTCTTTTCAGATTATTTGCAGTTATCAGAGGATGGGTAGGCTGTGGTCAGCAACAATATTCAGCTAAGCATTGAAATGATGCTTGGTGCGAAGGAGGCCCAAAGTGTGCTGGGAAATGATCCCCCACACCATCACACACCCACCACCAGCTTCACCTGTTGGTATCAGGCAGGATGGAGCTGTGCTTTCATATATGTTTACACCAAATTCTGACCCTACCCCACCCTTCTTTTTAGCTTTTTACACACTCTCAATAGTAGAACCCACCATTCACTATATCCTTATATTGTTCTACTTTCTACTTTAGTTCTACTTTCAGCAGTTCACTTCATCCATAAAACAGAGGATGGAGTGTTGAGCTTTTATAAATGCACAGTGTTTTCAGATGTTTGCATGTCCACAGCCACAAATGTTACCGTCTGCGACATGTATGAGCCTTTAAGTGAGGCTGAGCAGGAGGAAACAGCAGGTATCTGTAACCCAGTGAAGACTGACCACTCAGAGGGTGTGACGGACTCCAGCAGAGGTGCAGACAGGAGTGTGTCAGTGGGCAGCACAGCCACTACAGGTAGCAGCACCCACTGGTTCACTGCTTCATTCAAACAGGGCTCAGGGTTCGTCATCATTCAGAAGTTTTAACAGTTTCATTCTTTTTACAGTAGAGAAACTGTTTTCTTGTATTTGTCTTCAGTCAGTGCCTGTGGTTCACTGAAAGAAGTGGAAGTAAAAGCTTTAAACGCTGAGACGCAGTGGAAGCTCATCATGCTGTCAGACAAGTTTCAGCTTTGCTTACAAACAGTGGAGAGAAGCATCCTGCAAAACAGCTTCCACCCTCAGCTGGCTGCTTACAGACAGCTGCCTGTGCTGGGAGGTAGTGCTCACAGCACCGTCACAGCACCGTCACAGCACCGTCACAGCACCGTCACACCACCGTCACAGCACCCTCACACCATCGTCACAGCACCGTCACAGCATCCTCACACCACCGTCACAGCACACTCACACCACCGTCACAGCACCATCACAGCACACTCACACCACCGTCACAGCACCGTCACAGCACCATCACAGCACCGTCACAGCACCGTCACACCACCGTCACAGCACCGTCACAGCACCCTCACACCATCGTCACAGCACCGTCACAGCATCCTCACACCACCGTCACAGCACACTCACACCACCGTCACAGCACCATCACAGCACACTCACACCACCGTCACACCACCGTCACAGCACCGTCACACCACCGTCACACCACCGTCACAGCACCGTCACAGCATCCTCACACCATCGTCACACCACCGTCACAGCACACTCACACCACCGTCACAGCACCGTCACACCACCGTCACACCACCGTCACAGCACCATCACAGCACACTCACACCACCGTCACACCACCGTCACACCACCGTCACAGCACCGTCACAGCACCGTCACACCACCGTCACACCACCGTCACAGCACCGTCACAGCATCCTCACACCATCGTCACACCACCGTCACAGCACACTCACACCACCGTCACAGCACCATCACAGCACACTCACACCACCGTCACACCACCGTCACAGCACCGTCACAGCACCGTCACACCACCGTCACAGCACCGTCACAGCACACTCACACCACCGTCACAGCATCGTCACAGCACCCTCACAGCACCGTCACACCACCGTCACAGCACCGTCACACCACCGTCACAGCATCCTCACACCATCGTCACACTATCGTCACACCACCGTCACACCATCGTCACAGCACCGTCACACCATCGTCACAGCACCCTCACAGCACCGTCACAGCACCGTCACACCATCGTCACAGCAGCCTCACAGCACCGTCACACCATCGTCACACCACCGTCACACCATCGTCACAGCACCATGGTAACATTACTACTAGATGAAGCATTAAGATTGTAATGAGTGAAATCATTTTTTCAGACCCAGAGTGTCCAGTGAAGAATGAGATGGTGGAGCAGAGGACGGGGGGCATGGACGGTGGTCCGTCTCTGCAGTGTCTCTGGGTTTTCAGCTGTGAGCTCAGCAGAGGACGCAGCGTGAGCTGCATGACCTGGAACAGAAAGAATCCGGTAACAGAACAAAGATCAACTCCAACTCACAGAAACTGATTCAAGAGCAAAGGGCTTGAAGTTAGTGTACATTTCTGTGCAACACAAGTCTTTTGTCCTTGTGTCATTCATGTGTGTCACTAATGTTGCTGGACTGTTTTTCAGTCTGAACAGTGAAGTCAGAGTGAGCTGGGTTATAAAAATATACAATTCAAAGGTAGTATAACCAAGTACAGTTAGCTAACTTTCAGACACACCTGCAGTGTGGAGAGAAGGCCGTACCTTTGCTCAGTTAAATGCTGAAGGAGCCTGGCTAATATTGGGTCTGTCTCTTCTGATAATATTGTATTGAAGCATGCTGATCACTTGAAAGAACTGAACATGATTTATTGAGATAGAGAAATGAATGTATTTGGCGATTAGACTGTGGTGACCCATCAAAGCAGTGCCAGGGTTTAGGACAGGACCCCCCACAGCTGAGACTCTGGTGGTGATGATGATGAAGACGGCTCTGGCTGAGGGTGGGGAGGTGGAGGGTTGCACAAAGGAGAATCTGAAAGGAAGAATGAAAGAGAGCATACATGTAAACCGTGCAAAGTGGAAGCTGATTGGTTCAAAGAAAGACAGCGTGGGAAAGCGGCAGTCGTGTAGGAAGCAGACTAACACCCAGGAAAGCAGGCAGACGACTGATTACAGATCCTCCTCGTGTGGCTGTCTTCTAGGACCTCCTGGCTGTGGGTCATGGCAAGTTTGACTCTGGGAACCAGAAACCAGGTCTGGTGAGCTGCTGGTCCATCAAAAACCTCAAGGTATGACTTTGCTTTGGACTGGATTTAGTCAGCTCCCCTCATCATCATCACACAGATTGTTGACTGAGGATGTTCTTCCTCCTGCAGTGGCCGGAGCACGTTATCCACTGTGACAGCGCCGTGACCGCTCTGGATTTCTCTGCTAACAGCCCCAGTCAGCTGGCTGTGGGCACACATGACGGCAGCATAACAATCCACAGTGTGCACAGTCAGGACAACAGGTCACGTGGTGTCAGCAGCCGGTGAGGGGCGTGTGCATTGGACAGTGCAGGTCTTTTACTACACACTGAAAGTAAACCATGCTACTGCTCTGTCTTTGTTTCATGTGCTCTGTGTAGGGAGAGTCCCAACAGACACCTGGGGCCAGTGTGGCAGCTCAGGTGGACCCAACAACAAGTGAGCTCGACGGGGGAAGAGAAGGTGGAGGCCCTCCTCTCTGTGGGTGCAGATGGCAGAATTAGCAAGTGGTTTTTCTTCAAAGATGGCCTCGACTGCATAGGTACTTAGCAGCCGGCTCAGTGCAGTCAGCTGAGACAGCATACAGGTCATCGTTGTCTCTCAGGATAGTTCCAGCCTTGGAGAACTTCAACTCTCTCTTTGGCCTTCAAGATTTTAGAAGAAATTCAGGAAAAATGTCCTTTTCTAAGTGAATCTTGGCAGTTGGCAGTAATGTTAAACTCTAATGGGTGAGTATTTTGTCAAAGGTGTGCAGAGGAGAAGCAGAGCTTTTATTTCAATGGTCACAGGAAATGAAAAGTCCAATCTGACAGAAATACTCAACAGATGCTGTGCTAACTCCATAGATACTGTTGCAAATCTCCCAATTCTTTTAATCTTTGGGCTGAAGGAAGGACAGTACTCGGTGTATAAATGCTCAATCAACAATCATTTATTTCCATACAATTCAACACTTATGAGCATTAGAACCATCATGATGGGGAGACCTGCCTGCAGAGGGTCACAGCGAGTCTCAAAATGGTGACGGGTTACACAGCCTCTTATAGCGGCCCCCACCTAGTCGTAAAAGCCTAAATGCCTAAATTATGACCTCGGCTCCCTGTCTTTCTGCTCTCTGTAAGGTGGGGGTATGGAATGTGGTCTATCTCTTCTGCCCTAGACACCAAGTCTCCTGCTTACAACCTTCTTTTTATGATTCAACAATAAAGCATGTCAAGAAAACAGTGTAAGACATTCACAGCAGATCAAGGATACAGAGTGATGCACACTTATCTAATGAACTACAAAAATGATTGTTCTTTTAACCCAAAAGTATAATGAGGACTAAACTACATGCACAGCACACCATCTAAACTAAAGGATAATATATGTCCTACAGCTGTTATCATAATTCAACTACTTTGATTACATATATAAGGTAACATATGATAACAGAATAATATCACAATACTCTAAGCTAAGAAAAAGTACACAAAATCCAACAACAACCACGGACTAGAACATGAAGACATGCCTGGCACCACAGAGACGAACACAGTGCAACTCAGACTGACTGTTGCTCTGTGGTGGCTTCTGCATGCTCTTGCTCACAGACAAACAGACAACAGGCAATGATCAAATAGCTCCTTCTCTGCTCTCACCTTGGTGTCAGGTAAATGATATAAAATGATCCATTTCTTGCCGTAGACTTGATGAAGCTAAGGCGGATTCAAAATACAGAGACACAGACTGGAGGGAAGAGGACCGAGATGATGACAGAAAGTGTCCTGACAGCACTGACTCCTGGGCTCTGCTTTGACTTTCATCCCACAGTAAGTTACTGTTGGTCTTAAAGAGATAGACCCCGCTGACTCAGGGACCAATCAAAGCAAGACGACCACAGTGCTCTTTGTCTTTTACTTGCTGCAAGGGGAGTCGTCAGGATCTTAGATAAGATAAGATAAGATACCTTTATTAGTCCCACAAGGGGAAATTTCTTCACCTGGTCCCCCTCACAGTCCTTTTATTGACAACAGCAGTTACAGAAACATCTCGTTAGTCATGTGACAGATCAGGCACTCACACGTGAACATGTGATATGTGAACATGTGATATGTGAACATGTGATATGTGACATTGTCTGCTACACCACATATCACTGTGACCTTTCACCAACATCTCCAGTCACCCCACATATGGCATAACCTTTTAACATTCTTGCTAAAGATCTAATAATCTTGGCCTTCCTGCACAATGACGACCATATTGATCCACAGTTCTCTAACAGAGATTCATGAAATCCCTGAGATGTAACCAATGTATCCCACTGTGTTCCACTGTTCCTGCAGGACTCCAGTATCTACCTGACTGGGACATGGGAAGGTCTCATCCACCAGTGCTCCTGCTCCAACAGTCAGCAGTTCCTTGAAACCTACAGGAAACACTTTGTAAGTGCTTCAGAGTAAACGCTGCCAAAGACTTCTGGAAAAAACATCTGTTTATTCCCCAAAAGCCTTTTTATTCCAAACTGAAGCTCCAACTGCAGTATAACGGCTCTGTAGGGACACTGCTTATTTGTCAGTTAACTTAATTTTAAGGAAAACAACAGATAAAGTAAACTGACACCTACTGGTCTGTCTCTGTAAGTCCTCCTGGACTGACTCAGCCATACTGGGATCAGGGGTTTGGTTTTGGACTGGTTTGTAGTCACCTTCATAAATGGTATCAGTCTAATTTTAGGCTTAGGTAAAGTTTTGGACCTGATTTCAGAGTGGATGTGGTTTGATGTGAATTGGGTTGAGACTGGTTTATGTCTCATTGTGGTTTTAGAGTTTCTTTCTGAGGTTTATTGTTTAGATTTTGTGTCAGCATATTCCTTTATTCTTCAGTCAATTATGCTGCACACACAACTTGGAGTCATTTTCACCAATTCTTTGATTTACAGCATATTTTAAACTTTACAGATTCTTCTCTGTGTGAATGTGATGTTAAGCCTTAAAACTTACTAAGTATTCTTGGTATGTGAAGGCAGCGCTACATTGTTACAGGAATGTATAAATGTTGTCCACATACCAAGAATCCTGATTCAGTCAATGAAATGAATTTCACTTAGATCTGTAAATAAAACACAAGTTGATTTGGAAATGAAAATGTGATACATATATAACATATGTACACACATATGCTGCGATCTTTGTAGAAAGATTCTGAGTGAGTGAAGTCTGGCAAAATAATAACTTCACTGTTTGTTACAAACTGCTGTTCTTATGGTGCTGAATCTTCTTCGTGGGTGTGTGATATACACTCAGACACCTCTTCTTCTTCTTCGTCAGTGTCCTGTAAACTGTGTTGCGTGGTCCCCTTTCAACCCTGATGTGTTCCTGAGCTGCTCATCTGATTGGACCATCCAGCTGTGGAAGCAGCACCACTTGAAGCCTGTGTTGGGTTTCACCTCCGCCCAGAAGGCTGTCTACGACATCAAATGGTCCCCAAAGTGGCCTACTGTATTTGGAGCTGTCACCGAAGGGCAGCTAGAAATCTGGGACCTGAGTTCGAGCATGTGAGTACCTTTGGGTGGCGCTGTCACTCGGTGTTCCTGTTCCAACACACAGTGGTGTGTTTGTGTAGCTTATCTGCCAGTTGAATTGAAAACCTTTAGATAACTTCTTATTTCATAGCAGTAATGATACATGTAATCAATGTAGCCTATTTGCAGCTCTGAGGGCCAGGATCACTGATTCACCCGTAGCTAACCAGGCCCCTGTAGCTGCTGTAGCTGAAGATAGCGTAGGCCCCGCTAGCTGTTCCCCGGCAGACCCCAAGCAGCTGGGGAAAGAGGGCGGCTGGGTGACGGTGAGGAGGAAGCATAGTCTTAAACAGAAGCCCCAGGTACACCACCAACCATGTGTCTAACTGTTTTTCCCCACTTGGTGACACACCCGCCGGGGGTCAAACTCTGATTATTGGCGATTCTGTTTCTAGACATGTGAAACCTTCTGGAGGAAACCTGGTCTTGTTAGGAGAGACGGCATCCATCCCACTTTGGATGGAGCAGCTCTCATTTCTAGAAACATCAGACTTACATTTGAAAGTCTGATGCTTAGCCTCGTCCACCCCAGCTGTAAAACTCAGAAACCAGTCTTACTTGAAAACTAAGGTCTCTAATCAGAAGTACCTGACTCCGTGGTATAATTCTCAAACACGTAGCCTAAAGCAGATAACTCGTAAGCTGGAGAGGAAATGGCGTGTCACAAATTTAGAGGATCATCATTTAGCCTGGAGAAATAGTTTGTGCTTTATAAGAAAGCCCTCCGCAAAGCCAGAACATCTTACTATTTGTCACTGATTGAAGAAAATAAGAACAACCCCAGGTTTCTCTCTGACAAAAAGTCAGAGCTCTATCGATCCAACCATCCCTTTAATGTTAACTAGTAATGACTTCATGAACTTCTTCACAAATTTTTATCATTAGAGAAAAAATTACCAATAATCATCCCACAGATGTAATATTATCTACAGCTACTCTTAGTACCATTGATGTTAAGTTAGACTCTTTTTCTCCAATTGATCTTTCTGAGTTAACTTCAATAATTACTTCCTCCAAACCATCAACGTGTCTTTTAGACCCCATTCCTACAAAACTGCTCAAAGAAGTCCTGCCATTAATTCATTCTTCGATCTTAAATATGATCAACCTATCTCTAATGATCAGCTATGTACCACAGGCCTTCAAGCTGGCTGTAGTTAAACCTTTACTCAAAAAGCATCTCTAGACCCAGCAGTCTTAGCTAATTATAGGCCAATCTCCAACCTTCCTTTCATATCAAACATCCTTGAAAGAGTAGTTGTCAAACAGCTAACAGATCATCTGCAGAGGAATGGTTTATTTGAAGAGTTTCAGTCAGGTTTCAGAGCTCAGCACAGAAACAGCTTTAGTGAAGGTTACAAATGATCTTCTTATGGCCTCTGACAGTGGACTCATCTCTGTGCTTGTCCTGCTAGACCTTAGTGCAGCATTCGATACTGTCGACCATAATATCCTATTAGAGCGATTAGAACATGCTGTAGGTATTACAGGTACTGCACTGCAGTGGTTTGTATCATATCTATCTAATAGACTCCAATTTGTGCATGTAAATGGAGAGTCATCTTCACACACTGAGGTTAATTATGGAGTTCCACAGGGTTCAGTGCTAGGACCAATTCTGTTTACATTATACATGTTTCCCTTAGGAAGCATCATTTTCACTGAAAAACTAGTTCATGCATGTATTATTCTCAACTATTGTGATTCGTTACCATCAGGTTCTTTTAAAAACTCGCTGAAAAGCCTTCAGTTAATCCAAAATGCTGCAGCAAGAGTCCTGACAGGGACTAGAAAGAGAGAGCAGATTTCTCCAGTATTGGCTTCCCTTCATTGGCTTCCTGTTAAATCCAGAATTCAAAATCCTGCTCTTCACATACAAGGTCTTAAATAATCAGGCCCCATCTTATCTTAATGACCTTGTAGTACCATATCACCCTATTAGAGCACTTCGCTCTCGCACTGCAGGCCTACTTGTTCCTAGAGTATTTAAAAGTAGAATGGGAGGCAGAGCCTTCAGTTTTCAGGCCCCTCTTCTGTGGAACCAGCTTCCAGTTTGGATTCAGGAGACAGACACTATCTCTACTTTCAATATTAGCCTTAAAACTTTCCTTTTTGCTAAAGCATATAGTTAGGGCTGGACCAGGTGACCCTGAATCCTCCCTTAGTTATGCTGCAATAGGTGTAGGCTGCTGGGGGATTCCCATGATGCACTGGGTGTTTCTTTTTCACTCACTATGTGTTAATAGACCTCTCTGCATTGAATCACACTTGTTATTAATCTCTGTTTCTCTTCCACAGCATGTCTTTATGCTGTCTTCCTTCTCTTTACAGTATAAAGCACTTTGAGGCGACTGTTGTTGTGATTTGACGCTGTATAAATAAGATTGAACTGAATGTGAGTCAGACTCAGAAGGAGACTCCACCTGTGCAGCCCTCTGTATCACCTGTGTCTTGTCCATATATTCACCTCTTTCCTCCAGTCTGGACCCCGTCATTGTGCAGCCTGCAGCCCCTGGTGTGAGGATGACGTCCTTGCTATTTTCCTCTCAGGCTGACTGTGTTGTGGTAGGAGACACTGATGGTCATGTGACTGTCTACCAGCTGAAGAATCTCAGTGTAGGAGAGCAGAGCCAGGTAACATTAAGCTGGTAGAAAGGACGGGCTGATTGTAGTAGTGGGAAAGAAGCAATAAGGGAGACATCTCATTTCAAGTGCTGTCTGCCTGGTGTGTGTTCGATAGCAGAGACAATGACGTGGTTTTAAATTTTGTTCTGGATGTTTTCTTACAGGTGGATGTTCTGGAAGACCTCATCTGCTCTGCAGCATCTAGATAACTTTATGAAACAAACACATGTATGTCCAGTCAGCCTGAGGTTGGTGACAGAGTCATCTGTAGAAATCTACACAAAGATAGCCACAGTCCTGTTTCCATTGGCTGCTGCTTCATGAGCAGCTGTAGAGGTAGACTAGGTTACAGATAAGACAGAAGAATCAACAGCTAGAAACATGTTTGTATGGCTGTTTATAGGTGAGACACCTGACCAGTGTTGGTCAAGTTACTTGAAAAAAGTAATCAGTAACTAATTACTGATTACTTATTTTCAAAAGTAATTAGTTACTTTACTGATTACTTATTTTCAAAAGTATTTAGTTACTTAGTTACATTTTAAAACATGATTTATCCCCTAAATAGGTGACAAAGCAATAGATCTTTTAGCCCAATTCTACTTTTTCTGCATAATCGATCATATAAAATGTAATCAACTGGAAAAGTCTCTTTAACTTTATGCATCAAGCAAACATTAAATTATATGCAACATTCTCTGACTGGAAGAAATTTGTTGAACATTTAAACCTATTTTCTGCACATTCCAGCACATAAAATAAAATTGTTTTTTGTGTTTACACTCAGTCTTTCAAATAGATGCAAGTGAAATACAGCAGAAAAAAATCAAATAAAATAAAATCAAAAACTAGCGGTCCTGTTGCTCTATTTTCACCTGTATAGCAGGAGTGGGGCAGGCGGAGGTTTGCCCTGGTGCAGGTGTGCCGCAGCGGTCAGTGGAAGGATACGCCAGTTTCTCTGTGAATGTCACATTCCCGTGGCAGCGCACTGTCGGTGCTTGCTCGGACGTTTAGGGGTTTTTTTTGCTGTAAAAGAAAGTTTTCTTCCCACACAGTGAGCAGAGGACGCTAATGTTTTTGTCACTTTTTACGGAATCAAACTCAAAGTAAGGTCAGTACTTCAACGCTTTAAACGCTGCATGCTCTTACTCTCTGCCACACTCGTTATATTATCCATTTTTGATCTGCACACAGCTGTTGCCACGAACGTCTCACTCGCTTACGTCACTGTCACGAGACACTCTCGCAAAAAAAATCACGGTTCTAGTAACGCAGCGTGCTTACGGGAAAGTAACAGTAATTTAATTACCTTTTTGCAATAGTAATCCCTTACTTTACTTGAAGAAAGTAATCAGATTAAAAGTAATCCCATCTCTGCACCTGACAGTACAATAAGTGTCCCAACCAGACAATGATTTGGATACTATAGAGGACCTATTTAACTTAACTACAGTAAGGTCTACATACAGCCAGAATTTTAATTTAAGAGGCCCTATTATGCTTTTCCTTATTTTGGTAATATACGTACAGTACTGTTTCAGACATGTAGTGTTTCATATACGTAGGTCAGTGTATGTGCAGGTAATCCATGTAACTCAGTTCCGTATACTTTTGACTCAGTACAGTGTCAACAGAGGGGATTCCCTTATAGAGTTGCCTCAGTTATTTCTGATGTTTTGGTCATTAAATTCCCAAAATCATACCAAGCACATGGAATCCACAGTCTCAGCATCCCACAGCAGTTTGTGTCAGGTGACTTTCAGTGAAGGTTATGAAACAATGACAGTGTGATGATAACAAAGAGAAGCATGAGTCATTATCTCGTCATTACTTGGACTTTATTGTTGAGTTTAGCACTTCACACTACCGTTAGCCATCATCTCAAACTGTGTCACTACTGACTGGTTTTCCTCCTTTGGAGTAAACTACCAATCAGACAGCACATCTGAGCTGCTGTCACACAGTCTGAAACACATTCAGATACAGGAAAGTATGACAGCAACAACATGCTCAAAGATGAACATCATTTGCATATTAAGAATTTTACTGCTAGAAAAAAATAGTGCAAAGCTGAACATAGTGAATTTGCTTTATGTAGGATTTCCTTCAAAATATTTGTCTTTTGCCAAAGTACTGTTGACAAATTCAGTGCATGAATATGAATGACTTTCATGTTAGAACCTGTGAAATAAAGTGTGTGTGCCGTGTTCAGTCTGATACGTTTGACATGTATGAAACATCAGAATCTGTCTTCATTTAATTGATTTCCTCTAATGACTCTTTGTGTCTTTTATTGCTAGCATGTGTGCTCAGAGGTTTTCAAAGTGCATTATAAGCATGTCGTGGCTTTGTGTCCCTCGCTCTGCATTAGTAGAACCTTAAAAGACCAACAAATATAAGTTTGTCATACTTTATCGATGAAATTGTCTTGGAAAATATAAATAACATCTATAGCAGAAACAGTGTATCACTCTTGGTCTTGCAAGACAATTTTGTGTCCAGTTGTTAATTCTTGAACAATGTGCACCAATCTCTTACAAAAGATGTGGTTTGCTATGGTTCTCTAACCCAACCAGGTTACTAAAGTACTGAAAATGAGGAGACAACATTACAACAACTTGCCAAATAAGCTAGGTCCATCATGTGCAGCCAAGAAACCTGTGATCTGCCAAAGTTTAAGGGGTGGATTTTGGTACGACTTTTAAAGGTCTGTGTTTCCACAACCAAGACGTTGCTTCAGGCCGTCTACATCCTGTGGTTCTGAACTTTGGATGAACAAATGGCAGCAGCCGTTTATCAGAAGCACCCAAACTGTTCTTGGCGATGGTCTGACTCAGTCCTTGGGCCACAACCTTTTATTTCCTGTTAGCGTTGTTTGGTCTTTGCACCTGCACGTGTCCTTTGCTTCCAGCAAAATGATTGTGACAACGGACATTCAGCATCTAGCAGATGTTATATATGCAACATGCAGCAGCAGTTTTTTACAGTTACCTGCCTGCTATACCCAAGAGACGTGATGATTTACGGTGTCAGTCCTTTCATCACAGAATGGGCCACGTGACCAGTTAAAGTGGTGACAAACTGTTGGCTCTGTCTGTCAAAACGAAAAGTAGTTATTGGGGCTAAAAAAGGATTTACAGCCTATTAAACGTGCAAGAGAGCTAATCCAGTTTCCAGCGAGTCCATCATCAGCTGGGCTGATTCATAACCAGAACGTCCCAAGTGTGAAGTCAGTGAATCAGTGCTGGCCTGGTGCTGAACAAAGTGAGGCTGAAGGGACTGTGGAGACATCAGCACATCACATTTTATATTGGTTTTATTATAATGTTCTTCTAATAAGGAACAAAAGCACAGACACCAACCTCCTGATCTGCGGAGCAGTGGTGGTAGAGGAACTTCATCTCAGCTTTTTAGTAGAAGAGGGGGTGAGGGAAAGGTGGACTTTGGAGGGCTTCGGGGGAGGGAGGATGGAGCAGTGTGAAGTCTTGGACAGGTTTAACCTGACACAGAAAACAAGAACACATCATATTTGTGTGTGTGTGTGTGATCCAAGAGCAAATACTAACCTTGATCCTTCACAAAAACAAGCACAGCGAACAATTTCTCTAAAAATTCTTCTGATGATTTCTACGCTCACTGCAGGAATCAACATCTGCACATACACTCTGTACAAGAGACAAAATACAAATACGCTTCAACGTGTTGGAGGTACCTCGATTTAACTCATGTGGAAGTAGCCCAGTTCTTGGTTGTGTCAGGTTAGCAGTTTAGTGATGTTAGTTTACAGGAGAAGCCGGAAGCACGTTGTGAGTTTGGTTCGTGGTCGTCCTTCACTTTTGTTTCTTTTTGCCGCAGCTCCCATATCCCCGATTTGTAACTATTTACTTTTTACAAAATGTTTCTTGAACTATGGCAGCATCTTATTTATCTTATATATTTAGGCCGTGGATTCAGGGACCAAAACAAAAACTGTAATGAGCAGAGGTATTATCTACTGATTGTGTGTCTGGCGGCAGCCAAGGGTGGAGAGCAGAGGCAGCGGGCAGACCAATCGAAACGCAGCTCAGGCTGCAGCTGCAGCAAAAACTTGGGCGTAGTAGGAGGGATTCTGGCAAACCGTCAGGAGGGGGAAGTGGTGCTCTACCAACACGGTGTACAGTAAAGATGGAGGCCTGCTGACTCCAACTGAGGACACTGTCAGGCAGTAGAAGGAATACTCTGACAACCTCCATAATCTTAATCTCACTCATAATTAACTAAAGTATCCAAAAGACAACAACTTCTCTTGTTGCATTTAGGTTCCAGTTTAACCAAAGAACAAAAAAGGATACATCAGCTCGAGCAGGTTATACACAACATTTACACTGCACAGATGAGAACACAGCATGATTTCATTCAGTCCAGTCTGTCTGTTAGACAGCGTGCAAACAAAGCATGCGTTCTTTGTAGCATTCGACAACAGAGTCACTTACTGTATGTACTTGTTTTCTGACATCCACAAAAACATATTGGTGTCTATTATATCTCCTTGTTAATAGAAACTTTGTGTCCAGCGTTTGAGCTAATTCTCAACGTGTCTCTTGCACTGACCACAATAACCATTTATCGTAAATTAAATTACAGCAATTGGTACCTTGAGCAGGATGACGCTGATCTCGGTGGGCGTTTTCCCTTCAGTGCTCTCAGTTTGTCTCCCTGTGTCAGACTGACTTCTTTGCAGTTATTCTGGACAGACACAGAAAGAAAGACACAATTAGCAGCATGAAAACACAACATTGTGATCATAACTCAGTAGCCTGTTTGAATTCTGCAGTAACCATTAAAAAAGGTCATGTTGATGCTATGAAGTCACACCGCTGACCTCATCCAAGCTATATGACTTGCAGAGCACGGTGTTGATTGACAGGTCATCCATGCTGGAAAGCAGCGAGGACACTGCCTCCTGTTCCCTCCCTGCACAGAGTCAGAGCGGTGAAGCTGCTGTTGCTGCAGCTGCTGCTGCTGACTCAGTCTCTGTTGGACCAGCTGTTTAGACCGATGCACGTCACTCTGAACCCACAAACTGTGCTGCTTCCTGCACACAAACATCAAACACACGCCACAAACTAACTGTGATATTATGTTTAGCAGGTATAACATTCAACATCCTGGTTTAGCGTGTAAGTAGACACACAAAGCTAGTAGCCATTAGCAACAGAGCACTACTGTGGCGTAAGGAGGAAGTGTGCGTCCAGAGCTGAGGAGAGAAACAAGCTGCAGCTGAACACTGTGACTGCAGTCTGCAGCAGTAACACAGTTTTCAGGCTTTTTTTTTAAAATTACATTTGATTTATCATCCACCAGTTTCCCACTGCTGCAGTCACCACCACCACCAGCTGCACATGGGCACACTGGGGAATGCCTCACCCTGACCTCCACCTTTTGCTTCTCTTCTAACTTTTACTACATTTCCAGCATGCTCCAACCATGACCTCAGCATGGAGAAACATCTTGTGTGGTAACAGCAATAGATGCCACAGCCTAAGGACAGACGGGCCTTGTTTGTCCAGCACATCTCACAGATGCTCGATGAGATTGAGATCTGCCGAAGTTGAAGGCCAAGGTGACACCTCAAACCCTTCCTGATCTACTTGTGCTTTGTGTGAAGACTCCAGCGACACTCGAAG